TGCAGGGGCTGTAAGGAGGTAGAGCCATGCTGGTATCACAGTGTTTGTGCTTATGTGATTATTGCTACTTGGAGAAGCACTGACATGTTGTGGTCCCTTCTCCAGGGAGAGGGGACAGCAGATAATTAAGCCATGGCTATTGGGCATGTCCCTGCCCCACAACACATCAAAGGATGCCTGAATGGGGGGAAAAAGGCTTCCTTCTTCAGTTTTTTCTAGGAGTAGCCTGGAGGGATAGAGAGGAGAAGACTCAGTGTTACAGGAAAGTGGAAATAATAGAAAACATTCCTGTGACGTAGCAAGGCTAGGTGTCAGAGCACTGGTGAGCAAGCCAAGGAGGATGGGTCCCACTTCTTGGGCAAATCAGCCAGATGTGAGCATGCAGACTGCAGGGAGACAAGGTCTGCCACAGCTTTTACCTACCAGCCTCTGCTCTCCACCAGAACTGTGTGTCAGTGGGCAATGGGATGCAGCACAGCTCTTCTTTCCCCTGCTGCCTGCGGCCCCACAACACTGAGGTCAGGCAGTGAGCAGGAGGTGTCGCAAGTCCAACCTCTGCTCCATATGAGACAACTGTGAAGTCAGAACTGGGTCTTCAAGGGCCTGCACTTCCATGCTTCAAAAATTCGTCAATTTATCTGTCCAAATACAAGTCTGCAAGCATAAGGTGACTGGCTTTATAAATTAGACTGGAAAATGTGCATGCAGCCTTATGTATCAGTTGGTGACTGGTATCTCCAAAAGCCAGGTATGAAGGTGTTATGTCAAGGCGAGTGTGTGACTTCAAAGAAACAGTCAGAGCCTCGCGGGCTGGGGCTGGTGAGAGGAGAACCCAACAGGGATTGCTGCTGGGCTGAATCACCCATGCAGGCCAATATTCAGTCACTGCACATATTTCCCTGGTGCTTAAACTCTGCCTCATTTTGTAATCTTTCTAGGGCAGAGGTGATGTGGTCTGAGACAGCATGTGCAAGCAGAACCACATTATCACTTCTGAGAAGACAAAATGTTTTCAGAAGACAAGATGTCTTCAAGTCTTCTGGTGCCAGTTGCTCCTGTGAGCACCTTGACTGCTATGATGGCTTTACACGTAGCATCAATTCACTAAAACCACTTCCTAAACATAGATAAGACCTTTCCTGTTTAAAAAGGCATGATGAAGTACTGTAATATCAGTAGCAGAAAACCTGGAAGGAAAGTACCAACTGAAATATAAAGGCTGAGCACACAAAAAGTTGAAGTCTAAGAGAAAGCAAGTTCCAGCTTATGACTGAAGTTCACAAGGAGAGCCACGCTGCCTTGCCTGAATCCAGAATTTTTTGCTTTCCCAGGACACTGATGCACGAATGGCCCATTGCCCACTGTCTCCATCAGGCCTCCCCACCTTGTTTCATCCCTTAGGTAAGTGGGCTTTGTGACCATGTTGGGTCTTCTTTCACATGTCCTCCAGAGGTCTCTTCTGACCTCAGCCATTCAGTGATCCTGTCATTCTTAAGCCCACAGAGCTTGTGCTACCCAGAAGCATGCATGAGAAGAGACTCATGTCCACAAGCAGCCTACTCTGCGGCCTGCTGGTTGGCTCTCCCTATCACTGCCAGCAGATGAGGTGTGCATGGACACCTGCTGATGAGCACATGGGCCAGACAGATGCCAAGTCTGGCTGCTGGTGGCTGAATGTGCACCACTGCCCAAGTGCCTGCCCAGTAAATGCCATCTGAATGTCACCCCACACTCGTCACTGAGGCAGGAATATTTTGGCCCCATGTACAAGTTAATGGGTGCAGGAGGAAATACCAGGCCTCTCCGTAAGGTATGCACGCACAGTGACACACCTCGAGGCTTCCTCCTTCTATCTCATCTCTGCCTTCTTATCAGACGTGCTTATTCACATGCATTACACAGGCAGTGAAGGGATGGTTCTGCAGTCAGTGCTGGAGAACTGCTGCACAACTGGAAAACAAATCCTGGCTGTGATAGCAGTTGCATAAAAGTACGGAGAGAGCCAGAACTTCCTGAGCCTTTTTGTCATTATTTGTGTCATTTCCCTTCCCCAAAGTGTTGCTCTTTTGGCAAGATGAGTTACTGATGTGTTGCAGCCAAGTATGTTTTCATATTTCTGTGGGGAAGTCAGTCTGCCTCCAAGGGGTAGCCTGCCTTGCTTGAAAGTTTTTACTTTACGCATAAGTTTGTTCGATCGTCCCTGAAAATAACCCAGTGTGTAGCTGGAAATGGCTTATGGCTACCTGCATGAGCAGTGACACCTGCAGTGCCAAGGGAGGGTGAGCGAGGTGGGAAGGGAGAGCTGCAGGCAGGGGTGATGGGAAAAGCCTGGCAGTGGGAATCCTCACACTCTTTTTGAGGACTTCCTTTTGCCACAGACGAGCTCACCTTCCTGTAACGATACCACCCCACTGCCCACGTTGCACAGGCACTGCCAGCTGTGGGTGTTGTGGGGTGGCCGCTTGTCTCCTCCCTGGTGAGTCACTGTGCCCCAGCACCATGCAGCAGGGCTATTCCTGAAGTAGCATGAGCACAGCCCAGGATCGTAATGAGCCACTCCCACGGTCTGTCTGAAGTTTTGGGGCGTTGTTGAGTTTTGTTGGCACGCAGTTTATAAAGGAGTTGTTTATGTATTGCTCCAATTATTAGCTTTGGATGGGGATGGTTTTAGAAATGCACCTTGCTGAGCTTTCCTCAGGGAAGAGAAATGGATGCTCTGGCTCCCAACAGTGCTTTGGTGCTTGTTTAAAGGGAACAGGTATCAGAGAAGACAGGCAAGAAAGCCCTTATTTCTGCATCATCCAAATGCTCCTGCAGGGCTCTGAGAGAGAGCATGGGGAAACTCTGCAGAGGACAGCAGTGGAGGCTTCAGTCTCAGGTTGATCTCAGGACAAACTTGACTGCTAGCTCTTCTATGCTACCTGCAACCCAGAGCTGTGTGTTCTCTACATACATAATTTTCTCTGCAGTTGGTGTCAGTCTCCTTGCAGGTAAAAATGAAATGACACAATAGGAATTAGCACAAGGGCAACCTGCTGGCAGAATCCCACTGCATGGGACACAATAGCCATCCCCCTGGGTGGCAGTGTTCCTACCACTACTTTTCATTCCTTCCCCATCATCGGTTCACTTCCATTGCTTCAAGTGCATGGGGGACAATCCCTGTGGGATACTCCTGAGAGGTACAGTATGCAATGCATCATTCTGGAGAGAAATCCCTGCTTAGCTGCAGCCTGCAGCTCATCCAAAATATCATCCTCTACTATTAGTGCCAGCAGCACTGCTTGGTGTTCAGTGTACCTGAACAGCCATCTGTTGGTTGTGTACCAGGCCTGTGAAGGGGTGTTTATCATACAGGAAGACCACATTAAAAAAAAAACAAGCAAAAAATTCAGCATAACACTTTTCAAGCAATAGTAAAAGTTTCCGTGCAACCTTTAATTCTTACATGCACCTCATTTTTGCAGCATCTTAGCACTCGATAAGCACTTGCATAACATCCAGCCACTATTTGGCAATGATAAACATCTTAACTTTATACAATGGAAACTGGGGAACATATTTTAAACTCACCACCCCCTAAAGTTGTTTCCTATTGGTTCTGTAAATCTCAGAGATCAAAAGGCAGCAGCAAGGTATCAGAAAATTGAACACTGTTCTCTCAAGAAAAATGTGAGTATCCAAACCATTATGGCACCTCTTCTTTAAGTCAGCTACATTGGAAATCTGATCCTCAAATATCCTGATAGCTGCAGCCAATGTAAATATGAAGGGTACTCCCCTGAACAGCTCTCCACAAAGCTGATGGCCGTCTAGAGATTTGCAGCCAGCATTGGGCAGCTTGGCTATTCCCATCTGGTTTGGGTTTTTTTTTTTGCAGAAATTACCATCAGAGCTTAAGTGGTGCATGTTGCCCACATCTGCTGTGCAAGATTCAGGCAGTCCAGAAGGAGTGTGGTATTCCAAGAGTAAGGTTTTGTCAGAAGCATTAATTGTTGGTTCCAAGTCCAAAATCTGTTAACAGCACCCTCCACCCAAGACTTCAGCATGTGGAACAATGCATGTAGTGTAACTGGGTTGTGGAAGGAGACATACAGGGTCACAGCCCCACACTGCTTTCAAAGAACACAGCGACCACTTCTCAAGGCACTGAGCTGGATTTATTCATTCGACCATATCAGTATCAAACTGGAAATAATCTGTTTAAGATTACATGTTAGAAAGGAGCAGCATTAAATAATGGATGTATGAAAAAGAGACTGTGCTTCAGAAAAGATTCAGTGTACAACATACATAGTATGCCATTTTAACAAAAATGCTTAAAAAGAGTCATCCTAAGCATCAAAGAGAGTTTTATAAAAGTTTACGTTCTCATCCCATGGGATGTACAGAACTATGCAGTTTGCATAGTTTTACTATCATCCAAAACATCGTGTTTCAAATGTATGAGGCACAGCAAGAACAATATAATTCCATTTCCATAGGAACATAAACACAGCTTGTCACTAATGACACGCTTTCCAAACCGCAGCGCTCACGCCAATCATACACAAGTTTAAAGCATTAAAAAGCAAGAGACTGGAGATTGCCCACTCTTACCAATATGAACTGACACTTGCCCTACCCTTGAAAACTAGCAGAGATATCCTTGCAGTAGCTGCAACATTAAAAGCTGGTGGAGGCAGGGCCAACTTGCTGTGCCACTCCCAGAGCTAACAGATACAGCCAGATACTCCCTCTGCCCAAGGAGCAGGGGGACAGGGAAGATTCAAAGCTAAAACATATCTGTAACCAAGTGATGCTTTGACTCCAGAGACACCCGATATAGAAACTAGCTCAGCTTGAGGAAGCTCCTGATTTACATTGAGAACAACCAGAGACTGGCCAGGTCTCAAGACTGAAAAAAGGCTTTTTGGGGGAAGGTTTTCACTAAGGACAGCTCAGACAGACCAGATCTTATGGCCCGCATGCTCCCTTTCGTTTCATATGTTTGTTTTTTTTTTCTTTTTTTTTTTTTTATGGCAATACTTCTAAGCATATCATATAAGCTTTACAAAAGTGTAAGGCCCAGCACAGGAAGGTCCCCCAGAAGAAGACATTCCTGCAGTGTTCTTTTTGTTGTCTTCTTGTTGGTCAGCCAGTAGATGCACCAATACCATTGCTTGAGATCAGCTTATTAGAGTCCCTAAGGGCTTAGCTTAATCATCTGTGCAATTACAAACTATTCACATTTTACAGCCTACAATGGCAATATTTTTATGTACAGATTTGAAAATCAAGTCTTAAAATCAAGTTTTAAGAGGTAGAGGTCCATTTCTGACCTTCTGATAGAAAACGTTATTGGGTCAGTCATATTCTAATGCTGGTGGTGCCCTAACAATATTGAAGTAACCAGCAAGAGCTCCAAGGTCTATGTAAAGTGATCTTTGCCTCTTTACCAGGTCCGACTCCTCCATGCTCCCAGTACACAATGAGGAATCTAAAAAGAAAAGACACAAAGCACGCCATTATTGCACAGATAGCGCATCAATGCAACTTCATAGTTAAAGGCATTATTGGAATGCCTAGCATTTGCTTTTATTTGTTTGTGGTTTAGAAAGCTTCATTTTTAAAGCCAACATAAAATAAATCTCATATAAAATAAAGTGAAAGATAACAAATCAACCCATAAATCCAGGACAAAGAAAAGTAAGCAGCTTGGTACTGCAAATAGCAAGTGTGCTCAGTTGCAAAAAAAACCCTGTCTGCTGGCACAGCTAGAGAGAGCTTCCTCATTCTCTGTGCCACAGCACTGAAGGAGAGTTTGGTGCAAGAAAAAACTGCTAGTTTTCTGACAGTCGAGAATTCCCCTTCATTACAGGGGACTTTTCATTTAAGTAAACGACATCCTCTTTGTGACAGTGTAGAACAAACCTGGGACTGTCTGTCTCCGATTATTTTCTTTTAAGTCAAGGTCTGAAGAAACTTTGCAGCTGCAGAACTCCCCTGAATACTTGTGCAATGAGTGTCTTGGAATCTCAAGCACCTAAATTAGAGTTCCAGTGTAATGGTCAAATATTCTTTCATCTTCAAAAGAATTGATTGAGATAGCCTGTGCTGGTCATAGGATTATGCACCCATACGGCAAAATCCAGAAGGAGCAACACCACTATAGATGTAAAGGCAGTGATTACTTCAAATGTTTCATTTCAACAGTTACTCATTAGCGCACCCAAAATTTTGCACAGGTATCTCTTCAAGTAATTAGTGCAATTAAATGAACCACTTGTCTGGGCTCATTTTATAAATGCCCTTTATCAGGGTGATCCTAATATATTTTAGAAGTAGAAGAAAAGCATTTTGAAGCCTGCTAGTAAGTTGCTGACACCAAAACTCCCTTGAGCTTGATACTATCTGAGGCCACATATTTATGGGCTTTTTCTTTTTGTTTGTTTGTTTGTTTAACTGGCTCATGTGTTATCCTTCATAGAGCAATTATCAATGCACAAGGGAGCTGAATTCCATCCTGCAGTCATTGCCCTTTTTAAAACAAAGGGCTTGTGCTGTTGACAGCATCATTACAGTTAGATTTTGTGTGTGGCTTATCTTTAAGGAGGCATAAAGTATTTATTTTCAAGGCAGCTGTTGAAACTTTGCTTGCTGAAAGACAAGTTGCTGACATAAATAAAACACCTGTAATATAGGGATGCATTTAGTCATCTTGGGACAACAATCTATACTTAATGAAAAACTGCCCCAAATGACTGCCAAGGCCTTTTCATGAGCCAATTCTTCTGGAGCCGCAGAATTCAAGCTAAGTTCTCCTGCTGAAGTCAATGAGTGTTTTACATAACACCTAATGAGTGCTGGGTCTGACCTAATCTGATTGGGATTTCTACTGATCTCCTTCCAGAAGCTTCTTGAGTTTAGCTCATTTCCAAACACTTTGTCAAGCTGAAGTTTGACACAATGTAAAATCTACAGAGTGCAAGGTAAGGCTGCAAGGTAAGGTATTACTTACCTGTAATGTTTTCTGGCAACTGCAGCTCCTTCCTTGCAAGTAGCCTTTTCCTTTCAAACAGTGCTGAGTCCAAACTCTGGCAACGTGGCTGGTCTTCTGGGGGTGGGTGTAAAGCTTCATGTTTCAATAATTCTGCTGCAGACAGTCTATGGTTAGGATTCCTTTCTAGAGCTGCTTCTAACAACTCCCTCATGGAAGTGCTACAGTCTTCAGCAATATCCTCTAAAGGGGGAGCTTGTTTGTGTATCTGTTGGAATTATAATAATAATAATAATAATAATAATAAAGACTACTGATACAGTTCCTGCAAAAACAATGGAAAAAGAAGTCACAAATAATCACCTTGGTGATCTGGGAATTCCTCATTTACAACTTACCACATCTCCAAGCTAGTATAATCAAGTAGAACATAATATGTAACTACAGCAAATCCACCTTTTATCAGATGTTATCATAAATTTTAAAACTCAAAGCAATTCTAAGAAAGTATAAAATCCAGTGCAGCACAAATTCACCAGACTTTTGTACCACAGCATGTGAACTACAGAATCAAGCTCTTTTTATCTGCAGCTTCTAAGCAAAACAGACCAACAGTGGGACAGAGATGAACTTGTTCCAATCAAGTTTCACCCTGTTCTATCCCTGTTCTTGCAGGAAGCTCAAGGCTTGTCAACTTGTAACAAAACCGCAGAGATTACTCCAGCTCAGTTTCAGCCTTCCACTAAATGATCAAAACCTACTTCTTCCCTCCCTCCCCCAAAGCAAAAAGGATGATATCATCTCTCTGACAAATATTTTGACAGTCTTTATATGACTGAAGCTTTCCCAACAAGAGTACAGGAGCCCCTTCAATGAAAGCAGAGATATGGTTTTTCCAAGGGCACTCACAATATAGAGGTAGGATGGATATGCAGAACGAGGATATCTGTTCACCCAGGGCGGAATGCCAGTTTGCATGTGAATAATAGTAGCTCCCATGCTGTAGATGTCTGCTTTGGTTGTGTGGCCTCGGCACAGGATAACTTCGGGGCTCATGTAAATCTGTGAAACATAGCAGAAAAAAGACTATCAGCAGTGGAAAACAATAAGCAATGACCAGCCATGATATGTTGCGATTTGAAACACACACACGACAAATCCCTCTGATACTTGCAGCCTAGAGACCAAGCACCAGCTGGGGAACAGATTTTCTGCTCTGTTACACTGAACAATACACAACTGTTCGGGCAGATCTGGCTTTCTTAGTCTTCTCTCCACTCTTTATCCAGTAACCAGCACGGTGGGGAACCACCCTAAGAAATGGGGCAGCGAAGCACAAGCCAGGTCTAAGGTAAGGCACAGATTAAAAGTCAGCTCCTGCTGTGTGACCAAGCCCCAGAGCAGCTATTAAGGCAAGCATCTCTCTCCCACTTCTTTTTAAACCAGAAATTCCTAAAACCTAAAACTAATTTCTAAACCAGAAATTCCTTGCCGTCCAAGTTATGGTTTCCATCCAAAATTTTCCACAGAAAAGCTGAGCTTTGTCAGAGCAGTTGAAGCACTCTGAGGGCACCTCCCTGCCGGCTGAGCTGGGGTGAGGAGAGCTGAGATGCGAGAGGCACTGCCTGCCCACCGCTGCCGAGCACCTGGCCATGCGCAGGGGGAAGGTTTCAGCACCAAGCTGCCCTGGTTGTCGCTCCTGGTTTCCACTTTTCCCTCACCCAATCGCCCTCTAAAGGAGCCAAACAGATCTTTAATTAGTTCATGTTACCCTGCCACAAAGAATCACATTAAAAGCCATTAATTGAGACAAGGGCAGGAAGTTAAATCATCGCCGCATTGCTGGCCTGCTCGCTACCAGATGGAGAATGGCCACAAGGCTCACGCAAATACCATGGAATATTTCCCAGTAAATCACACATCACATCTGCAACCAGAGCTGTGGACTGGAAGCACATGCCCAGGAGCACGTCTGGAGCTGCTACTGACTCCTGTCCATTGCCCTCCCCAAAGCTGTGGCAGAAAGAGGCATCTGCCACAATTAAGTCTCACAAAGACCAAAGAGCAGAATCTCATTTTTATGAAATAAGTAATTACAACTGCATACAATGCAAACAATGCAACTACAGTGAAATCTGTACGAATGAAAAGCAGTTACTTTCATGAGGAAAAAGGATGCTGGAAGTATAACCTGTCTGCAGTTACAGTCAGAGTGTGAGAAAGGTCAAGACACACCCCGATTGCACAAGGACAAAAAGCAAACATGAGATGTGCACCCACACTGTGATTTCAGACTGATTTCGGCTTGAGCTCAGCTGCCATCAAGGTGGGCAGCCCAACCCCCGATCCTGTCACACTGCCACTGCTCTCTGCTGCTGGGCTGGCAACCCAGCCATATCAGCCTTTTTTTTTTTTTTAAAACACTGTGCTAGTTTTAGTTTAGCATTCTTGCGAATTAACCACACCCTCGATATTTAAATACCTCAGCAATATTTGCAACTGAAGCTTGTGCAATTTAACACAGTGACAGAAACATGGCACAGTACGTAGCTAGTACCCAGACCCTCAGAGGAGAACACTGATTCCAGCTGTGGCCTCCTGAGTGAAAACCAGCCCCGGCCAGTGCAAAAGGAGCCAGGCAGTTCCTATGAAGGAATCTGCAGGGCAGCAATACAGCCCTAACAAGGGGATGTCATTACACAGCCATATGCAGAAACAGCCCTCCTGGACAACAGCTGCACCACTTCTTAAGGCTATGTAACAGAGGTGTAAAGCTCAGGAGGACTCTGGAGCAAGAGATGAGATCTTACATGGAAGAAACAATGAGAAAACAGTGCTGTGCATCTGAAGAAAGCATTTGCGAATGACTGGACTCCACAAAGCTCAGCATGAGTGCTGTGGGTCTCGTGAGCACAAAAACTCATATGCTAGCATTCACAATGTTCCTGTAAGTCTTCGACTGGAATTTCAGCATCTCTTCTCCCAGTAATCTTTCCACAGCCTACTTGTCACCCAGCATGCTGCCTCTCTACACCACTCCGTAGGATACAGCACACCACAGGACCCTGCATGTTTTAGAGCTGCATGGACTGTCTGCTTTCTGTGGGCATGACTGCAGGTGCTCAACAATGCAAACTCATTTTTCTTTCTGAAAGGGAAGGATAAGCGTTTCTCACCATTGTGCTTCCCAACATTAACTTGACCTGTCCTCCAACAGCCAGGGTTGGACCATCACCTGCTCCACAAACCTGCAAACTGCCCATCTAAAACAACTCTATCCTTGGGAAATTACATAGCAGGGCTTCCATCTCATTTTTTCTATCATGTCCCTTCCCCTCCTTTTTTTTTTTTTTTTGATTCTTATTAATAGCATGCATGCACCCACACACATGATCAAAGCACATACATTAAATGCCAGAAAGCACATTACTTCCAATACAGTAAGCATTTTAAACTCTTAACTCCTCCGACAACACAAACAAATGCCTGAGTATTTTCCCAAATACTCTGAAAACAAAAATCAAACAAGCTTGGCATTCTGTGAAATATGAGTTTATCCTACCCTTCCAAGGAAGCAAGATGCTCTCTGTCAGTTACATGAGTATCTCTTCTGTACACATGCCTATGCTGTGAAAGAGCATCAAAATAGTAAGTGCCAACAGTTTAGCTGGAGTGTTTCCTGTAAACAGCCTCCTGTGGCAACAGAGAGCAAGCAAAGGCCCCTTTGTAGCAGCCATCCAAGCTAATTGCTGCTGCTTCGCTGTTTGCTAAATTGCCAGTCTGGAAACACTTTGGTATGAGAGTACTCAAATGGTGAGCAGGACCTCTCTGCGTGTTCAGAGTCCAAGTCATTGAGAATGTTTAAAGCCCCTGCCTCCTTTGCTGTAACACCTAAGCATTTTACCAGATAATCATCAACCACGCAGTACATAATCTCCATAGGACATAAGGACTACAGACATGTGGGAAATGCTAAAGAACCCACAGGTTTGTTGTTTCTGTGGTTTCAAAGGTGGAGTGCTCAGCAGGTCACCCCAGTCAATGGCTGGTATCTCGGGAGAAATCTTTGACAGAGCAAAGAACTAAATTCCAGTCTGAAGCATCTCTGACCAGCAGCTGGTGCACTGCAAACCACCCTCCCCAGCACACTGTTCCTTTGTTTGGCTTCAGAGCATCCTGACTTCCTCCTTGACTTCACGTTGAATAATCACTAACAGGCGGGACAGCAGGGAAGCTAACACAGCTTTCAAAGTGCAACACCTGACTCCACTCAGCAAGTTAAAAAAAAAAAAAAAAAATTAAAAACTTACAAACAAATATTAACATCAAGTAATATATGTATTTACTCTCAAGCTCCAAAATTGAATGTGGGCATCACAGTAATAGGAGTGATACAACACACAGATTTTTGTCCCTCTTTTGTCTTACCTCTGTTCCTCTAAGGTCTTTGGGATAGTAAATGTCCTCAGTCATTTGAACACTTAAGCCAAAATCCACCAACACGGCCTTAGTTGACATAAACACAATGTTGCTTGCTAAAAGAAAAACAAAAAAGTGGCATTTAAGGTTCTAGCATGTTGGGCATTTATTTCACAATGTGACTGTTTCATTTGGATGTTTGCCTGAAACAGGAGGCCAGCACAACCAGTCCCAACAGCCAGTCCTTCTGCTAGCCAGAACATGTCTGTTAGTGATCCAAGACCAATTTTTAATTATATCTCAGAAAATCAAGCAGGACTGGTTTGTTTAAAAGCAGAAATTAATGTCTGGTCATTTTCCTAACAAAACAAAACAAAAATAAAATAGAGTGAGAAACAGAGAAAATGGCTGAAGGCAAAGGATCAAGCTGGGGGATTGATGGAGATCTCTGCACAGCCAGTCTGCTGGCTTGCTCTGAAGAGCCTTCCTGTCTCCAGAGTTGCGAGCATGCTGTGCAACTATTGCTACAGACAACAAAACTGTGGTCACCAAGGGATTTCTTAACACTAGCAAAATAAATAAGAACTGAGGCCCCTCCACAGCCACCATACCTGTCAGCAACAGTGGCTCAGCATAATGAAAGAAGATAAATGCAAAAGTAAGAAAAGGCAGAGTTCCCTGTCTGAATTGCAGCACTATCTAGGAGCTTCATTCACCTTCCTTCATCAAACTCTGCCTAAGGCACAGTGTACTCAGAGACTTTGTCTGCAGCTGTATTTCTGATCAAATAGTTATGAACGTAATGCTTCTTTTTAAGTCTTGAGAAATTCTTATTCATTTCTTCTGCAGCTACATATAAGTCTCCAAGTTATGCAAGAGAAATATATTTTCCCCCCAAAGCAAACAGTGGAGTCAGGTGATTTCCCATCTTGACAGTGCCCGCCAATACACTGGGAAGAAACAGAATTTCATTGCACTGTACTGATTCCTCAAGTAATCTCCCAGAAAACTGCTTACTTACAAGTGCTATGAATAAATGAATAAATCAGTAATTTTAAGTATAACTATGAAGACACAGATTTTACACAACACATAAAAAAAATCACGTAGAATGCAGCATTGCCATAAACGTGGCAAGTTTTGCTGCCTCCTTGGGATTGCATTAAATTCCAGCTTCTGTCAGGCTCTGCTTCACTTCTTGTGTGACACAGCTGAAAAAGCCCAACACTGACCCCACACTCAATTAGGCCACAACAACCCCAAGCAACATTACAGGCTTGGGGCAGAGTTTCTGAAAGACTGCGTGGAAGAAATGGGCCTGGCAGTGTTGGTCAATGCTCAGCTAAACACGAGCCAGCAGTGTGCCCAGGTGGCCAAGAAGGCCAATGGCATCCTGTTTTGTATCAGAAATAGCTGGCAGCAGGTGCAGGGAGGTGATTGTCCCCTTGTACTCAGCTCTCGTGATTTAACAGCTTGAAGGGTTAAAACAACCCACTGATCTACTGCTAAAATCCAACAGAAAGTGGTTCCTCCTTCTTGGCTCAAGGAAGCCTTTCTCTCACTAAAATCCCAATCCCCCATACGTCAGCATGACAGACTCAACAGAAGAGGATTCAATCAGGAAGAAATCAGATGTATGGGGACTTTTTCTATGTCAGGTATCTGAGGCAGAGCACTGGGTAGTACTCCAAATAAACCTTTTGCTAACATAACAGAATAACAACTGTTGGAGTTGGAAGGGACCTTTAAAGGTCATTTGGTCCAACACTCCTCCAAGGAACAGGGACACCTACAGCTTGATCAGGGTGCAGAGCCTTGTCCAGCCTTACCTTCAGTATCTCCAGGGATGGGGCACCCACCATCTCTCCTGTTCCAGAAGCACTGGTAATTCCTAATAATCATCCTGTCAACTAATTATTCTAACACTTTAAGTTGAATATTTCTATTTTACACACACAGAAAAAAAAAATCTACTTTAAGCAAAAATAAATTTACAGAGGAAATATGTCTTAATTAGAAACACTCTTACTAGAGTGGCAGGCAGATTTTATCTGTTTGCAGTGGGGAGGAGATATACTGGGAGGAACAGTATTCAATATTAAATTATACGCAGTGCATTAAAGCTGTATGATAAAGCAATTAAATATGATTCCAATAATTTTAGTTTTAGTATCAATATATTTTGATGATTTACACAAGTTAATGCCCAGGGGATTTTAAAAACAAACAAGTTGAAATCTGAAATAATTGTTAAAAGAAAAAAAAAACAATAGAAATTATGTACTTAGTTCCAAAACGGAGTTAAACTGAGGAACAGCCATGTACAGGCAAAGAACTACAAAAAGCAGGCACAAGAAGAAGACAGGAAAGATTTAGGTTGGATGTCGGGGAAGTTCTTTATCAAGAGCATGGTGAGGTGCTGGAACAGGCTGCCCAGAGAGGCTGTGGGATGCCCCAAGGTGTTCAATGCCAGGTTGGATGGGGCCCTGGGCAGCCTGGTCTAGTATTAAATGGGGAGGTTGGGGGCCCCGCCTGCAGCAGAGAGGTTGGAGTTTGAAGATCCTTGAGGTCCCTTCCAACCCACACCATTCTATAATTCTAGGAAGGGAAATATTTAGGGCAAATTTCCACAGAAAGAAGTAAACTTCTGGCTTAATGCACTCTGATAATTTTGCTCAAACTTCTTTTGATTTTTATTTCAAATCTGTATTGCTCAAGAAAGGCAAAGGACCGATGACTTTTGAATCATCCTCTCTATTAACATAGCAATACATAGTGTATATAACTTATCTGAAGAACCGACCTTGTTATCTGTTGGCATGATCCAGTTTCTCCGTCCCTGTGATGCAAGGCTACACACCCCACCTCTGTAGCAGGTTTTTAGGAGAGCCCCACCCTGATCTGGAACAGAGAGCACTCCAAGGAACAGAGCACACTTACGTTTGATATCATGGTGGATAATCCTTTTGGAGTGGAGAAAGTCGAGCCCTTTCAGGATATGCTTTGTCACCCAAATTATTTCAAATTCTCGCATAGGCCCACAGCTCTCCAGCTTCTCCATGACAGATCCTCCCTCCCCAGCTTCCATGAAAAGATGAATGGTCTCATCCCACAGAATAGCTCCATACAATTCAGCAATGTTTTCATGACGGAAACATGCCTGTATTTCTACATCTGATGGTTTGAACTGTTCCACTGGCACCTAGGAGGTGGAAACAGAACCACATAAAAGCAGCTCAAAACCCAGGTTATTTATACTAACATTAGTTTTCCTATAGATTAAAATGGAAGAAGGAAGCAAAGGGCTCTTAACTACTTGTTTAAATATGAAGCTTTATTTTGATCTTGTGCTTTATTCTTTTCTAATCCAGATACATCCTGTTCAAAAATAAGAGAATTTTTGGAATCTTGCCTTAATAAAAAGTGCAGTCTTCCAGAAAAAGCAATGTAGCAAGAGTTATTCCCGTCAAAAATGGGTGGTTGTTACGCAAAAGCTCTATGCAAACTTCCTGGTGAAGGAGATAAAAATCCCACTGCTTTTTTAGCTAGCTTTGTGCAGCCTCATCTGCTCTACGAGGACTGTACACACTTTTGACATGTGGATCAGTGCTTGCAGCACAACAATGCTCAGCACTGTCTGCAGACTGACAGTACTCCACACCGTTACTGACCTTGTTTAACTCCTTATCAGCCTTATTTTATGGCTTCTGAGAAAGGAAGTCTGCTTTAAAGTGAGCACTCAGCAACACTTTATTTATTTTAAAAGTACTGATGGCAGATTATTAAAGCAATAGTTTGTTTAAAGCAATATTAAATATTAATAGTAAAGCAATGTTTGTTTACACTCAGGAAGGCTATTATCACTCTTTTTATTTTCTGCCCCTCAGGCTTGTGGCTGTGAAGCAATTAACACACTAATAATTTTAGTGCAGTGAGAAATACTTTTTGCACATTCAGAAACATTAGATAACTTTAACCCTGCAGTGGGTTATGCAGGACTGGCAAACTAAATCCTTTTCTAGGCCCATAGGTTTGGCAGAAGGGCAGGACATACAACTCCCTGCCTATTCTGTTGCACATAGAAGGCAGGTACTTATTCACGAGTGGCGGGGTATAGACAAGCATACCACTTGAATTTTTGCTGACCCTCAATTCAGAATACTTCATTGAAAGGTGATGTTAAAAGAAAACACAGGCTTGCATTAACATAGAGGGGTGGTCAGCAATCTCCTAGAGACATCTCTCAAGCTTATGCTGAGTTAGTGTCCAAAACACCATGAGATCTGCACATAAGCTGAGGTCACTATGACATAAATGCCATTGCAGTAACAAAAACACATGTTTGAAAGCCTCAGTTGAAGGGTGGGATCCCAGAATCATCTGCAGAGGCAGGGTTTCGTTATCATCTCCAGCAGGGACATGATTCGATGTTGATACATTACTGCCACAATTACTGCAGGACAAGCATAAATTCTTCCATTTACCCCAGGCACAGCTGCAGAGGGTAGCAGGCCTGCCCACAGGATAGCTATACAGGCTTCCAGACACTTCCACAGCGCTTAAACTTTTTAAGTCTCAAGGCTGAAAACAAGTTAACAATTAAAAACATCCATTTCTCTTGCTTTACGTAGGCCAAAGGAACACAGGCAATATTCAGCCCAGTAGTGGAATGTAATGCAGACACATTTAAAAATACACTACATGCTCTATGTCACACAGTATCTGCACATAAAGCTCCTGAACTAACATACCAGTTTACATGCCATCCGTTTCTTGGTTTCTCTATCTTGGGCCAAGTACACCTTCCCAAAAGCTCCCCGCGGAATAAAGTCAGAGCCAATATTCCTATAAGTCAGCTTCCACGGAAACAGGAGCACATCCGAGTCAATCTGATAGCGGCCATTCTTGGGAGTGATCTGTGGAGTTAAGTTACAATGAAATAATAAATCACTCTGAAGTTAAAACTACATCAAGTCTAATTAATCTTATACATGGGATGGAAAAAAAATATATGTTGCTTATGAATGTACACAATGCACGCAATCTGTTCAGCAGTCTTTATTTAGAAACACCAAATGGGAACAGCATATGAGGTGTGGCATCCATTCACAGCCCAGGCATCCACGTTTCTCTCAAGTGACTAACTCACAAAGTGTAAGTTGCAATTAATTGTCTTGAAACAACAACAACAGCAGCTGGGTTAATGAAATTACCCACCTCTTGTTATTAGATTTACCCGCACATGTTTGCCCTTCCTGCAATCTGCTTACTTGTTATGCCACATAGCTGTTACTCACAGGCTATCTTCTATGATGTGAGCAAGAGTTTCAGCATTTCCTAATATCAAATGGACTGCTAGAAGAATTTCAATTTTCCATCTCATATCAGAATTTCTGCTGCTTACGAAGCAGTTGAAGAAGTCCGCTGTGATTTCACCAGCTACCTTCTTGCAGTTTTACTTTGCAGCTGAAAAGTGACTGGGAGTCACACTATCTGTTTTAGGTGGTCATGCATAGAGAGCTTTGGGTCTCTGCACTATCACCAGGGCAAGGAGGTTCCTCTACGAAGTGGTCCTGAGCATCCAAGTCAGTATCTTGCTCTGAATCGCCCTTTGGAAGAGCTCCTTCCCTCTGCACATGCCAGAGAGCAAACTCCTAACTGTAGTGATGGAAGTCTTGCTTCAGGTTTGATGTTGGTTCTGAAGTCTCTTCATATTCTCTTAGCTAAAACAGCACTAATGTTTCCAGCAAATATGCTTCTTATTAAATCAGGGATATACAGCATCACCGCTAAACAGAATATTGTTAACCTGTTTACTGACGGGTAACCAAGATGCTTAAAGACATATAAAAGTAGATCAAAGATATTTATCACTGTCTGTCACATGGTCTCACTGTGCTCAGCTCTTCTGTGGCCCTTTGTAAGAACAACATCTCAGAAGATTACCAGTTTTAGATTTAAGATGTCACGCACAGAATCTGTGCTTTACCTTGGTGGTTTTGATTTAGGAAAGTATCTAAAGCTGGCACTTGTGACTAGTATTTAAATATGTTAAATAAGTTCATTCTTAGTTAAGTTTTGGGAGGATAAGTTCTTAAGTGATGTGGAGGGTGCCTTTTTAACACAAGCACTTTGCTCAGGATGAGCAGAATGAGCCTCCCTGGTGCTTATTAGAACCAAGGCAAAAATTGTACCAGCTCCTGCACCTCCCCTACACACTTCTATGTTTCACAGGCAGAAAGTAGCTAGTCTGCATGTGTTACAACTGTCTAGTAAGCAACACGGATACAGGGTGGATCTGCAGAACAAAAGAGATCAACAAACAGCACACTGTTCGCATTTCAGCAGGCTTTGCATCAGACTAGATCCTTGCCTGACACTGTGAACTGGACGTTCTCCTGTGGCTGTAGACTGCTGTCTTCCAGCTTAAAAAAACTCAGTGTGGGCACTCAGAGGCCCTTTGCAGTGCAGTCTGTGGGGTAAGCAGACAGCCAGGAATGCTCCTGACCCTGGCTAAGGAGCGGCAGCTACATGCAGTGCAGATGTGCCTGTTGAAATGCATCCATTGGTGAGGCCCTGCCTGCAGTCCTCAGTTGCTCAATGAGTCACGTGCACCTAATAACACCTGGTCCATACCAATTGTATGCATCTATAGAAATAATATCCAAGCAAAACAACTGTGAGTACATAAAACAGTGCCTACCCTAAGTATAGGACACATTTAATATTAGTAATTGTCATTTCAGTGTTACAATTCAAGACGTGACCATTTTGCAATATTCCCTCAAAATCAGGATAACTCATTACGCTTTGCCGTTTCAGTGCTAAGAAACTGGCAAGGCTCAAGCAATGAATCCTCATGTACAAAACACACTGCATGCAAGAATTTTAGATGACAGATCTAGAACATATTAAGAAAACAGCAAGACAAAAATATATGAATAAACTTCCATTTTATGATTGGTTGTTTCCAAAGCAACATTTTTATTTTACTAGCAGTTCAATGACACTAATATCCATAGGTGTTTATAGAAGAAAGGTCATTTTAGGAAAAAAATTATTAACATCTCTCAAGACACCGCATCTATGCTTGCATTTAGCATTGTGTGATATATTACACAATATTGTATTTCTAAACATTGCTGTTGATGTTAAACACCTTTTCTCCTCGAGTTACCATGTTTTGCAACCTTTTGTGCAGATAATGAATTCAGAATAGATTCCAGACCTTTACTTGGGAATTAAGCATAATGATCTCTGCTACCACATGAGCAAAGGCACTGGAGAACTCCCAGATGCTCCTTGTAAGCCCTCACATCTGTGGCTTTTGCTTTCTTACTGCACGTATTAAACTTGCCTCCAGCACTGGGAAATGCCTTCTAATCTCCAGGCTACCAACACGCAACACAGACTGCATCTTTCTGAGCAGATGTTTCTTCACTGCTGCCTGGGACTGCAGGGGCTGCATCTGATGTCCCTAGGAATCCCCTCCAGGCTCAAGCTTCCTGTTACTGCTCAGTCTGCCTGTTACAGCTGGGACTGGAGGTGATCTCCACTTAGATTCGGCAATAACTTGTAACACCTATACCTACTAATTTTCAAGTGAAAAGAAAAAAGACATACCATATTCAAGAGGATTCCAGATTCTTGCTGTCTGCATCCTTTAAATTGTTTTGCAGCGTTAGACACCTGATTTGCAAAAGCAAGCAGGTCTTCCACAGTCCCATATTTGACAGAGGACATCAAAGAAACCTCCCTCTCACAAAACAGTAAAGATTCTGCACGTTCTTCATTTTGATTTTCCTCTTCACACATCGTAATTAAGCTGTCCTCATAGACGGCAAGGTCTCCACCTGGATAAAGGTTTTCCATGATGTCTATCACTTCAGACATATTTAAATTAGTTAGCAACAAGTCAATTTCCTCTTTGCTATCACTACCCGTGCTCATATACTCCATTACTGTCCACTTTGCAAAACCACTCCTGAAAAAAAGAGAAATAAAACAAACCTGAGGACATTTTTTCATCTGAATCTACAGTAGCAAAGCAAGAAGGAAAAGAAGTGATCAGAGTGAGAGTAGTTCATTGTTACATGGTTAGATTTTTAAATTACTTTGTATTAAGAAAAGTCATAACGAGTAGAATGGGTATAGAGGAGAAGAAGAAAAAGTGTCCACTAACAACCTATTTTGGAAGTTATTTGTGAACTCTTCCAACCATTCAATTTTGGACTTTACATAAAGTTTCTCAGTGGAGGTAATGACACAGTAAGGAAGCATGAGCCAGTTATGCTTTGCTGGATATGCAAAAATGGAGCACCCTCAGTGCCACTGCAAGGACTCATCATTTGGAAATGGATGACAAACAGGGATATAAATGTATCATATTAATTTATCCCCAAGATTTTGTGAACAACTTATGTGATGTGTCCAGAAAGAGCAGAAGATCACAGAGCAAAGCTAATAAGCATCCACCAGTAATAAACACCTGTTAGTATCACTGCATGAAGCACCATCCATCACCAGCTGAGATACAACACCCACCTTTTCTGCAAATGACTGACTAGAATTAGACTTGAACTGAAATTTTTACCAACTTACGAAAAAAGTCAGAAATAGAGTTACTATGAAAGTAATGAACTTCTAAAGCAGTTTCAAGCACTTTACTATTCCTACTATCCCTTACTATGCCTAACAACAACTTTTAAGATACATCTTGGCCATTTGGCTGAAATGGAATTTAGCTCTAAGGAACTGGATTCAGCATCCCAAGAAGTCCTTTCTCGTCCCAGATTCCCAGATTGAACCAGAGTTATTCTACCCAAGTGAAAGGCATATACACGATCAGCCATTACCATTCTTACACACACAGTTTTCAACACGTAAATGTCTAAGTGAACTTACCTTATATTTATCCCGGTTACATCACACAAAATCATCAAAAAGGTCTCAATATAATGGGTAAAGACGTCATGTTTCTCCAACCCGTATTTACCACCGATGATAGATTCAAAGTGTTCCTTTGCAGTCTATTAAAAAAGGCAAAACAAATAAAGCCATGGAACACCAGCTCAAGCAGAAGGACTGGTTTATGCTCATATGATCATTTGTTTCACAGGCTTCATGGAAAGTAAAAGTAGTAATCACAAGGCTGAGTGAGATAACAGGGGATTTTTTGCAGAAAAAGATGACAGCTAAAAAGAGTCAAGCTGCTGTATGATCACCCAGATTTCCAGGTACTACTGCAAAATAAGTTTTCCATGGTTAGGTCTGGAGTTTTATTCTCTCTGCCTCATGCTTGATGATAGCAAAGAAGAGACGAATCTTCTTTTCCTCCAGTAGCACATACCCCATTCAGAGAACTCTCATTTCCCTTTTTCATAAACCACCTATTCTCAGTAAAAGATGACAAGCAAACAAAAAAATACTTACAAAAGAAAAAAAGAAAAGAAATAAGCACAATCTATTTATCTCAGGCACCACCAGCAGACTCAGTCCCCCGAGGTCATGAAGCAATGCAGCTTGCCCAGATACAGTTTCTGGTTATGATCACTATCTTACGTCCCCGCAAGGACGTGGAAGCTTTGCGGCACATATTTCTCATGGGCTGGAAGATGCTTACGTCAGCTCTAACGTCGAAGAAAAATGAGTAAATTGGTGCAGCTGGCAGAGAAATTCAGACCATGTGCTGCAAGCTCAAGAGGCAGGACAGGAAAACTCAGCATGGGCAGAACAAAAAACGGCATGAGAGAGCTGCGGTACCACATCCCCCCTTCCAAAGCCCTGTGATGGGCTCAGCACCCTGCAGTCTACGTGCTGGCACCCAGTATCAGGGCACGGAGGGGAAACCCCCAAGCATTTATCTAGCAGGGTGCTGAGAGGGGTCAGGGTTTTGTCAGCCTACACCTATACAAGAACTAGCAGAAGCCTAAGCTGTTATCTAACCCCTAGCATCTCACCCTACCACACTACTACCCTAAAAGCCTACAAGTGGTTACTCTCAATCATAGAGGAGATTTCTAGCCTTTGCCCCACAGCTGGGCTTTTTTTGTTGCTTTTATGATGCTGAATTATTGGGAGTAAAGAGAAAAGCATCAGCCAGTCTACTAACGGGAACTGTGGGGCTGCTTCTGAAGAGCAAGGCTGGGTTACACACCAACCTCGGGGGACTTTGTGCAGAAAAACACGAGCCTCCAGAGGCCCGTCCCTTGTGGGCAGAGACAAGTGAGCGCCACAATTAAACTCATTCACTCCTTGATAATACTTTCATACCATAGACCACAGTGCAGCTGACAGCAAACGCAGCTCTCCATAAGCTCTGTGCCTCAACATGTTCCCAAACCACAGCGTGAAGCTAACAGTACTCTCAATTCCATACCAACGCTTGTGTTGGGCACTTAAATAAAGCTTTAAGTCTTTCTGTACAACCCAGGTATCCGTCACTAATCACGAGAAATCACGTCACTAATAGTGTTCTACCTGTGTTCTCAGCGGGATTCAGGTTTTATCTCAGCTTGATCTCTCAGGTCAGTTGCTACAGCACGGGACTGCTTCTCCAATTCTGTCATTATTTCAACACCACCACATGAGCCGCCTGCCGGCCAAGAATTTATTTTTCCCGTTTATGACGAACGGTATTTCCTTAAAACGATCTTTCTGAGAAAAAGATCTCCTTAACGCGTCCTCATACCCGCCCTTCGCAAACAGCAGCAACCGCACAGCGGGGAGCGCAGCTCCGACGGCGCTGACCCGCTGACCCGCAGGACAGGGCTCCGCCGCCCCTCCCGCTCCGCAGCGCCTCAGGTGCCGGCAGGTGCCGCCCGCCCAAGACCCCCGCGCCCCCCCGCGCCGGGCTTACCTGCGGGGCGCCGGCAGCCTCCCGCCCGTCCTCCCGCCCGCTCTCAGCCGGCGCCGCGGCCGCTCGGCCCGCAGCGGGAAGCCCCGGGGGCGGGCGGGGCGCGGGGCGGGCTCCGGCCGCGGTTTCTATTTCGCTTTACGGGAAGGCGGGAGTCAGCGCCGCCCCGCCGGGACGCGCCGCCGGAGCTCGGAAAAGCGGCGCGGTGTTTTCCGCACCCCACGCAGCGGCGGAGCGCAGCCTGGGGAGCTGTGTCTCGTCCCGCCGCAGCGCTGTGAGTCCTGCCGCAGCGGGTCGCAGCCCCACGCGACCCAGAGCGTTGCACCCGTTCGGAACGCGAGCACGGTGTAAGCGTTAGCTAAATAAAAGTTGAGCTGGAAGTCTGGTGGAATTTAGGACAACAATGTGTAGGATTTGATGGCGGCATTCGGATTAATCCGAATGGCAGGGTTCTGCCATTCTGCAATGCTCCGGGTGCCGGTACTGTTAGCTTGGCAGTTGATGCAGAGCAGCGCTTTGCTTCTCGTCCCAGCGGCGGTAACTCCGGCAGGGCTGTGCTGACCCGCGGCCTCTGCCGGTGTTTCATCGCGGAGGGAATGGCGCCTCTGGTCGCCGACCCTGCACCACGAGCAGCCGTGGGGCGGAACCGCCACACCATCCCAGGAGACAAGTACTGCCTTTTCTGTCTATTATCTGCATTATAAAGGACTGTTTGCGTCCATTACAAAGCTTTCATTACATATGTTTGGGACAGGCTCCCCTCAGGGCTTCAGTGTTGGGGCATGTGTGGCTTTTTTTCTGTTTGTCAGCCAGACACACTGAGTACCTGTCTGAAGGTCACAGGTGCATCCCCTGCTATTCAAAACAGTTCAAAGTATGGCGCAAGTGGTGTTCTGGAGTGCTCAGGGACCACGATGCACCAGGACAGCAGCAGGACAGAGCATGCAGAACCCTGCCAGCAGCACTGACCTCTGCTTTCTCCTCCAAAACACACAGGTGATAAATACGTTGGCAAACCTCCACTAACAAATACGTACCTTCTGTGTCAGGTTTGAACTTGTTCAGTGGTGCTATTTTGGATGGGATGCCATCCAGAGGGACCTAGACAGGCTGCTCAGTAGGTACAGGAGAACCTCATGAGGTTCAGCAAAGCCAAGTGCAAGGTGTTGCGCCTGGGTTGAGCCAACCCCAATAAGTGCATGCTTAGGGAGGTAAAGATGGAACACAGCCCTGCTGGAAAGGACCTGGAGGTACTGGTGGACAGCATATAGACATGAGCCCTCGCAGCCGTGTAAGGCAACTGTATCCTGGGCTGCATCAAAAGAAGCGTGCTAAGCAGGGCAAGGGAGGCGATCCTGCCTTTTCACTCTGTAGAGTGAGACCTCACCTGGAGTACTACATCCAGTTGTGCAGTCCTCAGTACAGGAGAGATGTAGACCTGTTGGAGTGCATCCTGAAGAGGGCCACAAAAATGATGCCAGAGTTCGAACACTTCTCCTACAAGGACAGGCTAGGAAAGCTATTGCTGTGCAGCCTGAAGAAGAGAAGGCTCTGGGGGATAGACTCTTTAATGGGGCTATGTCAGGGTAGGATGGGGGAAATGGTTTCAAACTAAAATAAAGGAGATTTATATTGGATATAGGGAATAAGTTTTTACACTAAGAGTGGTGAGGCACAGGCATAGGTTGCCCAGGCTGTTGAGCAACCTGATGCAGCTGTAGGTGTCCCTATTCATTGCAGGGAAGTCAGACCAGATGATCTTTAAGGATCCCTTCCACCTCAAATGATTCTAGGTTAAGGCTGAGTAACACATCCTTCACGCACAGCAGCTAGCACGCTGGTTTTCCTCCAGGAACATGCCTGCGTTGTTAGTTTTCCTAAACCCACAATTAATTTTAATGAAACAATTTTCTTTTTTTAGACCAGCTTCAAAGGAGGAAAGAGGAGGAGTTTCTCCCACCCCACATCAATGAATTTGGGAAGGATGTGCTGTAGGATTCCTGAGGAAGCTTGTGTACTTGTTATGGACACGTGGAGGAAACCGGAGTTCACGCTCTGTGAAATAGGGTATTAATTCAAAGGCAGTGTTTTACAAGCAGTCTTCTGGGTCATCCAGGGATACAGAATCAGGGTAAGTTACACAACCATAGTCCCCACAGGACATACAAGAGTGCAGCTCGCCAAAGAGCACTGCTAAGCAGGCACTAACCTCACCCCTAACCTACGCTACCGGTGTGCCCACAGGTCTTATGTATGTGACTGCTCGGACGCGTTTTATTTTACTTTTTAATTAATCGCTCAGATGAAAGCTACGCCTTCAGGCTCTCCACAGGCTCTCCAGGCCCACCTTTCTGCCCACGGTTCCCTCCCCCCAGGTCTACACGACTCCTGCCGAGAGACGCGCGGAGGCGCCGGGTTGAGCCCCGCCGGCTGCCGTAGGCCGGGCGCTGTGCGCGTGCGCGATGCCGGCAGGCGGCTCGGAACGGCCGGGCGATGGCGCAGCGTGCGGGAGGGCGGGCTCTGTGCCTGCTGCGGGGCCGCCTGCTGCCCCCCGGCCCGGCGGCCGCCCGCCTCGGCTCCTCGGGGCCCGCGCTGCAGCGGGCGGCCGGCGCCGAGGAGGCAGGTGAGGCGGTGCGGGCCGCGCCGCGCTCCCTGCTCGCCTCGGGCCGTCGTGTGTCCTCTTGGGGGGCGGGCGGACGGGCGGTGACGCTCCGGGAGAGGCCGCGGGGCGTCCGCTGGTCGCGGCGTCCCGGCTGAGACCGGCCGAGGGCGGCGGGGTCGGCGTGTGAACTCCCGGCTCGGACTGCAGCCGGGAGAGCGGGGCCCGCCGCCCGGCCTAGGCGTACTGCGTGCGTGGAGGCCGGAGGTGGGTTAAGCGGAGATGGCCGTCCCGCTGAGCAACCCAGGGGTTTAGCTGCGCCTTCAGGACGAGTCACGGAGCAGAGAGGGCTGAGCGGTGTGCCGTGGCCGTGCTGTGCAGCTCGGTCCAGGCAGCCAGACTGTGCCCGTGCGCCTGAGTCAGAGCTGGAAAGGCCTTAGGCGGCCACGTGTATGCTCCTGTTTCTGAGCCTGAGAGGCATTCTGTAGTTCTGTAGCGGGGAAGGCTGAGCTGTAGTATGACAGTCACACAGAAGAAACACAATTCTGTGGTGTTTCTGTCCCTGGATTAACAAGCATGCAGCAAGTTGGGTGAAGGACCACGTCCAGATTTCAGTTAATCCTCTTGTTTTGGTGTATGCATTAGGTCGTTTGTCTCACCTGGTTTGCTCCATGCTATGTGAACAGGTATGTTGGCATCACAGAGGGCAGCATTAGGGTGCATTGAGCACCATGGGGGACCAGTAGCAGTGCAGGTGAGCACCTGTTTGGTGACTACAAGGCTATGACACAAACCTGAAACATTGTACAGAGGAAGAAAGAAAGCAATGAGGACTGCGTCTCAAGCATTTAAAATGAACACATTCATCTGAGGACTGTCTACTGTTGATACTCAGTGACTTGTGCCTCTTCATTATTTTGATGAGCGGTGCTACGTAGCTCGTGTAAAAGGCAGAAAGAAACCGTAGAACTTCTTTTTTTTTTTTTTTTTTTGCATAAGTATAGATGCTAACAGGTTTGGTTAGAAGATTTTCTTCAATCCGCAAAGTCAAAGAAAGCAGCCTATTGAATCTGTGTAGCAAGTGGTAGCCACAGGGAAATAGCTGCATGCTCTCTGTCTTCCCAATCTTGAGTTATGAATGGTAGTGTGAACAGGAAGCCTTCAACATGTAACATGGTGTGGTCATTTGATTATTTGAGTTGTGCAGGTTTGCAATTATAATTCAGGTTTGGGATGTGTTTTCTGTATTTCTGGATATTCCAGCATATCTTATTTCCATGCTGATTTTGTTGACTGTCAGCAGCAGTAGTATAGATTGCCAGTAGTGTGGCAAGGTGTGACTGTTCTGCGCGTTATTTGAAGTGAGTTGATGAAAATACAGTACAAAAAGAAAATTTTGTGTAGGAGTTTGCTGTAAAGGAAGATGATGAGTTGTAAAAATAACCAAGTGTAGAATTGTTCCAAAGGTGAAAGTGCTGTTTTTGTGGTGGCAAAGAGGCATTATCTTTTTAGAGCAGCTTGCTAACAGTGTAGCTCTGTCTGGTGCTGATGCTGGACTCACGTGCTGAGTTTCTAATGGTGAGTAGCAAATCAGAGACCAAAGATTCCTCATATCATCAGATGTCCTGTGGTATCGAGGAAGGTCAATATTGTTTCCATCCTACATTTTCTATTCTTTGTTCTTAGAAAATGTATACATTTGTGAGAGAAATACACTTCTGAATGTATTTCTTTCTCTCTGGAGTTTTCTGTTTTGCTGTGATCCTCCCAGAGTGCAAGAGCAAACCCAGAGCAGAGAACAAAAATCAGTTTTATATATTTGTGTAGAAGGAAAGCTTGATGCTTGTTTCTTCTTACAGATGCTGAAGTCAGTAGCAGGAAGAAGACATTCACTGAGGTTCAGACAGAACGATTGGAACAGGCAGATCGGAGTGTGTTAATTAAGTGCCCATCAAAACTTAATGAAAAAAAATTACTGCAGTATTTATCCAGTCATGGAAACATTGACAATTACTTCTTTTTTGAAAATCGTGTAAGTAGCTGACAATACAAACTAGAATCTAAACTTGGATGAAAAGAAACACAATCATTTGGTCAAGCCTTCATACATCTAAGTTATGCATATTAAACACAATATATTCAACTAGTTTTTGTCTTTATTATTGTTTACAAGGTGTTGCACAACAAATTTTTGTGTTTAAATTACCTAAGCAATGCCTGTTTTTAAGTGAATCTCGCCAAAGATTTTGTGCCAAATGTTTGAAATTTTAATATTGCACTGCTGATTGTCTGAAAAATAGAGCTAACCCTTTGTTATGCTTCTTTTTGAAGGTAGATTTAGTGCTTACTATCAAGAATAACAGCTTAAATTTTTTTGATGTTTTGTATAAAATTATCTTTAAAGTATTAACGTGCAGAAGCTACCATTCAGCTTCAGGACTCTTACTAATATGCCGTAGTATTCCCAGGCAGGTCTGAATAATGTGAGTGCAATCAGTTCAATGCTCATATGCATTTATCTAACTGTTTCCATTTTTAATGTTTTAGGGTATTCATGCTTTAATAGAATTTTCAGAGAAGAGCAGTGTAGCCTCACTACAGGCTGTTACTGGAATTCCAAGGGCTGCTGAGCATCATGTTGTCCCGTATAAATCCAGACTTTTTACTTTCACGCTGAAAAACCCTGGTAGTCAAGCTGCTGAAGAAAGGCCAGTCAACCTCTCTCCTCAGTCTCACATTCCAGTGAATGAGCTTATTCCAAAGCTTTGTCGTGCAGACAGTGTAAGTATAAGTTCTCTCAAATGCAAACAAACCTTGTCCATGTAACATTTGCAAGTGGTCGTGTGAAGCTTTTAAAGCATTTTTTTTCTGTTAAAAAAATAACCCCTGTTAGAATTGTGGCAATGGCTGTCATGCATTGAAACAAATAGAAAAAAATGACTGATGCTTACAATAATTTTGTCTGTAGGAAATAAACTTGTTTGAGTCTAAAGTTGTTTAAGAGCAGTGATAGTACGTGGATGAAAATATATATCGGTAGGCAGAAGATGGGTCGCTATGCTTTAGCAATGTTTATTTTCTTAAATAGGTAAGCAGTCAAATGTACACTCTGCTGGATGAGTATCAACTTACAGAAGAAAACATCAAGCTCCGATACCTGGCCTGTTCTCTGGTTCGGGATTTTGCACGCGCGTATTTTCCAGACAGCACTGTAAAGCCATTTGGCTCTTCAGTGAACACCTTTGGCAAATTGGGGTGTGATGTGGACATGTTTCTGGACTTCCGTGATATACAGAAGCATCCTACAAAAATGGTAAGATGATGCTGGCGGCTCCAGTCCTCATTCTTTGTAATAGGAAGAAAATAATTTGCTGGTTGTGCAGACTTTGTGTGTACTGTCAGGCTGAAGAAAACCTTCATCCTCCAAAGCTAATTCAGCAATACCAGACCTTCCAGTCCTGCTGCTTTTTTCTTTTCTGGAGCTGCTGGACTTGACCAATACTGGGCTGTGATTTTAGGGTCCTCTCTATCCTGATACATAATAATCTTATGCATGTGTGTGCGTGTGCATTTTGAGAGGGCTATCAGATTGTTTTTCCTCAGGTTAAAAAGTTACTGTAACAGTGCTACAGAAACATTACCTCCAAGGGTGTGTGGAGGTGTTGGGACCTGCTGGGGTAATGCTGGTGGATAATTGCAGTTAGTGCTGTTCATGTTTGCAGTGTCTGTCTGGAGACAATTTATAGTGTTAGCATCAGGTGGTTTCATTGAGAAGGGAATTGGTTTGGGTTACTCATGGAAGGAACCTGAGGGTGTGCTGGGAGTAGGACCTAGGAGTGAAACAGGAGCTGAGCCAAATAATAATGCGGACGTCCTTAGTTGTCGCACTTTCCATAATGTACTTTGTAATTATTTGATTATCTCATTGATAACACTGCAGTAAGCACCAAGACAAGTGATGCTTACTAAGCAAGTGTAGAGGCTTGAAATTGAAATATGTTCACTTGAATTTGATTACTAAATGCAGAATTTCCATCTGTATCTTGAGAAGTTGGATGGTTACACAAGACTGCCAATAAGCAATACTCAGGGAACAGCATTGCTTTCTTCAGCACACATATTAAATTTTATCTTAACTGTGTCTTCACCCATGCGAGGATGTGGAAATCTCTGCTGTGTATCCCTGTATTGGGATTCAGGCAGCTTCAGATTGTAAAGGTTATTTAGAATGGGTTGTATCTTAGTCCTGGTGCATGTAGGCAATTCCTTTTGAATTGGAGAAGGAAATACGAAAGGAGGTGAGAATTGGGACACTTTGAAAGCTGATTTGCTCAGCTTTTCTGTGCTACTTCTGTTTTGCCCTGTTTTTGATTTTTAAAGAAATATGCCTTCAATTCAGAGTTTTCATTTTTATTGCAGTGATTGATTATAATGAAAGATATGTCAGCAGAAAGACAGGATCACTGAGAGTTTGTTGGAAGGGTTAAAATCCAAGAACCCTTTACATTTAGTTGCCTCTTGAGTTTTGGGGAAAAAATCTAAGTATAAAATGCCTGTGTTCAAAGCACATATTGTAACTAGCTGAATTTGGTATTGATGCTCTGCAGCAGTAAAATCCTTCTTTCATGTCATATTTTCAAAAGAAAACTTGCACTCTGAAGGCAGTCTTGCGATGAAGAAGATGAATTCAGAATTACAAAACAGGCCTAAGGAAGAAAGGCAGTGGGTCATGGTGAATCTTAGGTGTGAAAACATCTTTCCCACAGTTTAACATTTGTTTTAATCCTTTTTATATGCATATATCTGTTGTTCAGTCAGACTGGTATTAGAAACTGTGTTGGATTGGTAAGCATATGATTTCTCTGAGCACATGTACTTCAGTAGGGCATTAATCCCAGTTCTGAGAAAAATGAGTATACCTAAAATGTATGACTTAATGTGTGGAAGCTGGAAGAGAGATCATCAAATTGGTCATTGTTCTGCAGAAGTCCTAACTGTTTTGTTTTGTTTTGTTTTTTAAAAATCTTTTTAAACTGGTGAGGTGTCTGGAGCACAAGTCTTATGAGGAGCGGCTGAGGGAGCTGGGATTGTTCAGTGTGGAGAAGAGGAGGCTCAGGGGAGACCTCACTGCACTGTACAACCTCCTGAAGGGACGTTGTGGTGAAGAGGGATTTGGCCTCTTCTCCCAGGCAACGAGCAGGACACGGGGCAATGGCCGCAAGTTGTATCAGAGGAGGTTTAGATGAGACATAAGGAAGAACTTTTTCTCTCAGAGTGGTCAGGCACTGGAATGGCTGCCCAGGGAGGTGGTGGAGTCGCCGTCCCTGGCGGTGTCCAAGAGGCGTCTGGATGACGTGCTGCGTGATGTGGTTTAGTGCTGGTGGAGGCAATGGTGATGAGGAGACGGTTGGACTGGATGATCTTGTAGGTCGTTTCCAACCTTGTGAGTCTATGATTCCTGTATTAACGCCCTGAAAAAGAACATTTGGCTGTTGATGTCATTTATCCTGAGAGGTCAACTTTTTGTTTGTGGTTTTGAAAAACATTTGCAAATCAAGAAGGGAGGCAAGTGTAATCACAGCTGCCCATTTTAAAATATTTTTTCTCTTTTGTTGTTTTTTATGTTTTGAATTTTGAAGTGATGACATGCCTCGATATCATGGAGTATTAGAGAATGCTTAATAAATTCAGATTAAATTGAATGATTCGTGTCACTGCAGTCCTATTTTGTAAGATCAGTGGAACAGAAATTCTCACTTTAACATCGCTGTGCTTGAGATCAGCTTCTAAAATAGTTTTGCAATCAAGGTATAGAACAAGGAGATTTTCTTTTGATTGACATAATGAACGATGTCATTCTAATGACAGATTTCCTAGACAATAGAACTTCCCTTAGCTTTTTTTTTAATTAGCATTTCTTTACATGTTCTTAGATGCCTCAGATCACAAGGACAACTAGTTCATGGTTGCTCTCCCAGTATTTAGCCTTTCTAGAGACATTTCAGTCCACATCATCAGTACTTCAGTAATTAGTTCCCTTCCCAAGATCAGATTATCAGCACAGCATTTGTTTCCAACTTCTGGTGGTTTGGCAGATCAGTGAATGACTTAAAGCAGAGTTCTGTGATAAGTTTAGAGTAACAACAGGTGTTTGAGAATAACATTTAAGCTACCAAGGGTAATGAATTTACCCCCAAAGTAGTAGTTTGTTCAAACCTGTTTTGAGTGGCATGGTAAGAACTGATGGAGAATCACAAGTGGTGTCAGTACTTCGTTCTCCCACAAGAGAAACCAAAACTCCATCTGTAAGTTCTACCAACTAAGAGCGTCTGTTTCATCATGAAAAAGTCCATCCAGCTTCTAAGATATCGAGCTGCCACCCAGGATGCCTATGTGTCAGCCAAGTCCCTCTATATTTTTTCTCCTGTTACCTCTCTCAGAGTTCATAGTTGCAGGCTCCTTTGAGCCAGCACTGCTGTAGCATGAAGCTGCACAGCGCTGTGGGGTTAGGGACCACTCTTCTGATACACTCACACATATGCTAGCTCTGTTGGCAGCAAGGAAAGGTTACCTTCGTTGTTATCACAGAGACATAAATTTCAGTTCCTGAGGTGTAACTGTAGGAAGGGTTGCAAGGTCTGTGATTTCTGAACTGTTTTGCCGGTCTGCATTCTTTGCACTGGCATGCTGACAACAAAAGTGACCACCTTTACTTGTCTCCTGGAGGACTAATTAATTCACCATGTAATGCTCTTTGTATTGCGTGAATTCATGTTCTATTCATCGTATGCTTCAGAGGGGAGGATAAGCCGCTATCAAGCATCAGGTCAGCAAGCAAAATTAGCTGAGGCTTAAAAACTGAGAGAGTATAAAGAGAACAGATTTTGTAGGTTGTTTTATTGGGATGTAAACTGCACGTGACAATTCAAAATTCAAAGATCCACAGGGAAATTTACGCCTGATGTCAGAGGGCAGCTGCTCTGGTGGAATTACTTTAAATCTTAAGGAAACTAACCTTCATCTTGAAGCAGCAAGCAACTCGCGTGCTGATTTTTTATTTTATTTTTAAATAAAAAGGCATTTTCCTTTATACTTGTACTAACTAGTACACTGTACTTTGAGGTTATGAAATAGAATTACTGGTGGTTTGAAATTGGCAAGTTACAGTTTGGTTGTGTTTTGTCCCTCCTGCCTTGTAATACCTTCTTCAGTCAACATATGTGCCGTCTTGAGAATCCCACATGAACTGTTTTAGGTAATGTAGTGGCATTGCACCCTCATCAGAATAGCCAACTTCACAGTAAGTTACTCACTATCAGCGTGGGAAAAATTGAATCACTGAGAAAAGAATTGTACAAGAAAAAGCAGTGTGGTTTAACTTTTTACAAGGTCTGCAGACTGCTTTGGAAAATCCACTGTACTACACTGCTACTCTGCAAGCTCTTGTAATCTTGCAGAAGTATTCTTAAATTTCTCTTTAGTTCCAGAACTAACAGTTTACTTTTCAAAATCTTTCGTTAGAAAAAAGGTCCCTTTGAAATGGAGTATCAGATGAAAAGATTGCCATCAGAAAGGTTAGCAACTCAGAAGATTCTTTCTATAATTGGTGACTGTCTTGACAATTTTGGTCCTGGGTATTCAAATGTACAGAAGATACTCAACGCTCGCTGCCCCCTGGTGAAATTCTCCCATCAACCAACAGGATTCCAGTGCGACCTGTCAGTGAGCAACAGGTAAGACCTGGTTTTAAATGGTTCAGGGTGAATACTAAGTTCTGGAAACTTGTCATGAGAAGTTTTCAGCCAACTCAGTTCTGTGTTTTGTATCAAATATGAATGTTGGGTCTGAAAGGGATATTTTTGCCTATTAGAATTTTGTTTCCTAGTGTGTTAAATATCAGTTTCTCCAGTGTAGTAAGTAATTGCTAGCAAAAACTGAAAAACTGCCTTCCCAATAAGGTTGTCTTGTAAGGAACTGAAAGCAGACATGGTTCTTCAGTCATCTCTTCATGTACATGTATATGCAAAGCCTTGTTTGGATTGCTTTCCAAATTAAGCAGCCATATCATGATAATTGTAATTATCAGCTGATTTGCAGTCATTGGATTTCAAGTTATTTTGGGTTCTGCATCCTTTTTATGGGCAAAAGATTTGGAATACTGCATTAACATTGTGCATTAGAAAGCAGCCTGAAGTTTTACTGTCATTTGTACCATTCACAACAGCACCCAGTAGAGGGAGCAGGCATCTCACAAATTGTTCTCTGCATCTTTTTTCCTTTTCAGATTGCTCCCATGTTTTTAGGTAATCAGTGGCTGATAGTCAAGCATTTGATTTATTTGTTTTGCAGTCACTTACTTTATTAAGAAATAACCACCTGTGATGTATGCATCACAGAATTAAAAACAAGTACATCCCCATTTTTTTTGTTGGGGATGGTAAAACACAAGTGATTGTCTTTCAAAATTCTTTTCAACTCACCTTCTACTACAGATTTTGTAATTTGCACACATCAGATGCGGTCAGGTCAGTCAGACTGAATTTTCTGAATTACCCCACATTCTGTTTCAGAATATACAGGAGTTCTGTGATATTTATATGTGATATATATATATTAGGATCAGAGGGAATGGTTTCAAGCTATGGCAGGGGAGATTCAGGCTGGACATGAGGAAGTATTACTTTTCAGAAAGGGTGGTCAGGCACTGAATGGATGCCCAGGGAGGTGGTGGAGTCACCGACCCTGGGGGTGTTCAAGGAAAGGCTGGATGTTGTGTTGAGGGACATGGTTTAGTGGGAGCTATTGGGAATAGGTGAACGGTTGGACTGGGTGATCTTTTAGGTCTTTTCCAACCTTGGTGATTCTATGATTCTATGATTTGTTCAGTATTGTCACAACATTAACATTTTTTTAATGTTTAGCCACAGTGAGAGTCAGCATAGGTTTCCTGGCAGGTATTTTTTTTTTTCTTTTTAATTCTCTGCAAAAGATGGTTTTGTGGGACTATGTTAGTATTGTTACCTGGAGAAATAAGAAATCTTTGTGGACACAAGGAGAACCTCACAATTGAAACTTTAGAAGTGCAGGTATTAGAAGGCTTTGATGCAGCAGCCATCCCCAAATGCCTTGGTGAATTTTTAGAGGAATTGAGTGCAAGACTGGAAGTAAGAGCAGGGTAGTTCAGCAAGCACTTTAAACTAGCTTTGCAATGTAAGTCTTGCTCTCACATCCTCCTTCCATTTATTATCTGCTCTATATTGCCCTCCCATTTGTACACTATAAGAAAGTTTGTACATCCATGTGATGAAACAGAGCTGATCCATCTGAAAACTTGTGTCCTTCCAGGTTAGTTGTTTTGCAGCAGGACCTGGATTTGGATAGTTATTATGAACAACTGTCAGCACAATGGATGTGGTAACACAGAAATAAGAGTGAGCACCTGGGAGCAAAGCTGCTGCTTTCAGCTGCAGTGTCTGCTTGTGTTTGTTTAAAGAATTTGCTGAACGACTTCAAATTTCTTCCAGTCACACCAATAACATTTTTAATACTTCAGAATTGTTTTCAAACAAGATTAAGTGCATTTTATGCTGTCACAAACTGAATGACATCCAACTTCAAACGTTAGTTGTTGGAAAATCAATAAATTGTTAAGTCTTTAGAGTGAGATTGTAAGATAAGTTTATTTTGTATTTTTTGTATTGGTTTTTTTCCCCCTCTATGTTAGGATAGGGATGTTCTCTAGTACAGCCCAAAGGCAATTATGGCTAAATTATGTGGTTTTGGCCTTGACTGTGTGTAGATCTAACTCCAAATACATAATGTTCTTTTTTCTTTTCCACTATCCTGTGGAACAAGGAAACAGGAAACAGCACAAGTGCAGTATTATTGTTTACCTTTAACTGTATCCTTTTTATTATTGGCGGTTATCAGATACATTATCCTGGACAATTTCAGACTCTTTCATCTGCTTTGTTTGTTTGTTTTCCATGAATAAAAGTTATATGTGGATTTTTGTTTGTTTCTTTGTTTTTATATTGATGCTCTCTTCCCTTATAACTGATAATTTGTGCTGAACAGCCAGCACTGGCATCATAATAATAATTGCATAATTATTTACGTCTTACTTTTTTTCTTCCTCAGCATTGCTATAAGGTGTTCAGAACTCCTGTATATTTACGGCTGTTTAGATCCCCGTGTGAGAGCTCTGGTGTTCAGTTTACGATGCTGGGCCCGTGTTCATGGCCTTACAAACAGTGTGCCTGGTACCTGGATTACAAACTTCTCTTTAACCATGATGATCATGTTTTTTCTGCAAAAGAGATCGCCACCTATCATTCCAACACTAGACCAACTTAAAGAGCTGGCAGGTAAGAGCAACTGTTTGTGAAAGAGCTTGAGGCGTTTCTCACAATTATTGTAACTTTGTAAGGTTAGGAATAAACCCAAGCCATTCCTCTGTGCTCTCAAGTAGCAATATGCATTGCCTGTGCCTGATGTTTGAGGGAACGTGGAAGTTTCATATGTACTTTTTGTAAAAGTAATTTATCCTAAAATGCAAACCACATCAGTTTTCAGTACAGTGCTTAATTCTGCTCAGAGTGCCTTGGACAACTTAAAATCATTTATGTTCCCAGTGCTCTCACGCTGTTTCTTTTTGTTGTTTATTTTGCAGCAGACTCGTAAGATTTAAAATGTCTCTGCAGGTTTTAAGGATTTTGTGCAGATTATTATATGTGCCAGGGGAAGTTTAGGTTGGAGATCAGGAAAACTTCTTTACAGAAAGGGTTGTTAAGCACTGGAATAGGCTCCCCAAGGAGGTGGTTGAGTCACCATCCGTGGATGTGTTCAAAAACTGTTTTATGTGGTGCTCAGGGACATGATTTAGTGGTGGGTTGTTAGAGTTAGGGTAGGACGGATAGGTTGCGGTTGGACTTGGTGATCTTGAAGGTCTTTTCCAACCTGAGTGATTCTGTGATTCTACAATTCTGTGTTTTGTTTTAAAGACACCAAGTGTACCTGTATTCCCACACTCTTTGTAATGTCCTTGAGACTATTCAGGGCAATTGCAAATAATTTTTTACCTTAATAAGCAAGTTGTTCTGACTGTCGTAATATTTCAATTTCAGAGCATGTTATCTTCAGCTAATTGAACAAAGCATGGAAAATGACATCCCAAATTCTTGATTCCTTGCTTTTTTCCACAGCTTATTGACATGCTTCCTTGGAAGCTTTGAGAAGATGATCTGCCTTCTGTTGCTTTAAAATAATTTGAATGTTTCCATTAGCAGTTACCAACAGACTCTCAAAAATGAAGCGCTTGTATACGCAGAATAACGAAACAGCTATTTATGAAATTTTTACAAGATATTCCTAATAGCTTTTCTGAAAAAGAGGATGGACGCTTGAGTGTAGCTGTTGATGCCTTTGTGTAGTTATTAACCTCAGAAAACTTTACTGGCTCAGTGTATTATAAAGCTCTGTATGCAGAGATACCATGTTTGTTGCTTCAACTTCAGAGATATATAGATGTCATACACCTTATTCCTGTAGGTTTTTGAAAATACATTTTCCCTTAGTTTGTCCAAAGATTTGTTTTTCCTTTTAAATCTTTAACCATTTAATTTGAATCTTAGCCTTAAAGTTTGTTATGAGTTTGTAATTTGCATTACTTAATACGGTACGTTCATTGAAATCTTATATATGTCTTATATCTGAATTTTGTTATGTACAATGGCATTTTACTTTTTATCTGTTCAAAATACGCTTGCAATTTTTGTTTCAGATGAAAAAGACAAACATGTAATTGGAGGGTATGATTGCTCATTTGTGAGCGACTTCAGCAAGGTTAAGCCTACAAAAAACACGGAAACGCTTGGTAGGTAAATCTTCATTACCTTTGCTTTTTCTGAGTGTGCTGACAATAAACATCTCCGCGATGCTCAATGCTGGTTCGCTTTCTCTCCCTCAGATGAGTTGCTGTGTGACTTTTTTCAATACTTTGGAAACTTCGACTTCAGAAAGAATTCCATAAATCTTCGAAAGGTAAATGAATTTTAATTTCTCATCGTTATCAATTAAACTTCTACTGTCTTCAGTTTGAGCAACTGCCCGTGTTAAACGACTGCTTTCATTTTTAAGTATGTATGCAGTGTGCATTCAAATCGGTTGTTACCAGAAACTGAGTCCTCTGCTTGAAGGAAGAGCTTTCTCCTCGAACCCTGATTGCTTATGGTAACATTCTTAACAGTGCTGTGTCAGTACTTGTATATGTTGGAAAGCAGAAACTATGATGCTTAGTCTTTATGATTCTTTTGTGACCACCCTATATAAAAAGTGACTGTTTTAAAAAGCAGGAACTTTTAAAATGTCACAATATTTGTCGTAGCAAAAGTCAGTGACAAACATAGCACACTTAAAAACTTTGCGTTTCAAGCTGTGAGTACAAATCCAAACAGTGTCCACATTAAAATTTAAACTGAGTTTTGAAACTTGCTTTTTACACTTCTGTTTCTTGCTGCAGTTACCATCAACCTTCAGTTAGCCTAGTTACAACTCAGTGAGCATGACAGATAACATGATTGTATGCTTACCAAGAGGTCTGCACTGTAATCATGTTTTCTTTATATAATTAAGTCATGCTCTTTGGGGATTTCTGTGTGAGTATGTATATGAAGGCATAATAGAGACATATATGCAAATACAGTAACTACTAACACCTGTTCCTGCTGGGCTTCTTGCAGACTGAGGGCTTTCATTGCTTTGTTGCTGTGTGGTCACTCTTGGTTGTGTTTCATTTCCTACTTTAGCACTAACAGTTTCTGGCATAGAAGTTGTTTGTTTTTCTGATATAGATCAATCTGGAAACTAAGTAAGCTGGATAACTGTTGTTTGCCACTATGCCTTAAAAGGCAAGTTAAAAAATAAAAAATAAAATAAAAAATAAAAAAAAAACAAAACAACACCATAACAAACCTCCTTGTGCTGATCCTGAACTGGACAAGGGAAATGTCTGCGTTGTGGATGTTCTTCTGTTTAACTAGTTGTCCTAGCCCTGGAGCAAGGGTATGCAGCATGCATGTGAACACTTCTGGACTAGCATTAGCTGCTAGGTTCCTGGTAGGACATGCAGTGGAAGGCTTGTAGAGATGCTGTACTGCACAGCAAGTCACCTGAGGAGTGCTGATAAGCAGTGTGATGGAAGTGTATATAACTAGCAAACTACATAGTTGACAATAACTTGTATTTTACCATACTAAGTGCATGAAAGTGGACCGTGGTCTAAATAGCTCTGTACTTAAATGACAAACTGAACTGGGGAGAATTTCAGCCAGGGCAGTAATCTTGCTTTATTATACCAGCTCTTAGTGAGCACTGTGAGAGAAATGATTTAACAGGTGAAGCTCATGAAGTCATTTATCAGACTAGGCTGTGCACGTTAACTTGATACTCATGCTGCCCATACACAAACAGAGATAGGAGTAGATTGCAGCAAGTGGAGTTTGAGGTTTGTGGAAAAGCAAATGGGAGAACGGCCAAAAAGACAGGGTGAGTTGTTGTAGTACATTCTTTGCCTTGAAGGAAAGTTCAGTGTGGCAAGGAAAGCAACCACAAAGAGGATTTAGAGAACAGGAGTCCTACGCTCAGATTGGCAGGAAAATTAACTTGATTAATGATGCCTATTTTTTTCCCCAGAAAGTGGTCTTCTGGGTCAGAAAACTCTCAGTGTAGTCACTTGAGTGATTTGTTCCTTGCTCAGCGTATGATGCATATGTGCAACTTTTTCTTCACACTATCTGCAGGGAAAGGAAGTAAATAAACCTGAGTCGTCTCCTCTTTATATCTGGAATCCTTTTGAACAAGACCTTAATATCAGCAAGAATGTTAATCAGCCACAGCTGGAGAAATTTGTTGCTGTGGCCAGAGAAAGTGCCTGGATTTTACAGAAGGAAGATAAAACTCAGCAGATGATCAATAAGGAACCCTGGGGACTGGCAGCTGTACTGATACCATTTGGAAAAAGCAATCCAAACACGATGAAGAGTAGGACAAAGGGAATGGGAAGTGAAACAATCAAAAGCCTCTTGGACTCTTTAAAGTTAAGTGATGCAAACAACGTACAGAAAGCAGTGGGAAAGTGACTTTCAGCACAGAAAACACAGTAGCTGCTGTTCTGTTTTAGGAATTGAATGTGGCACAATTTGAAGAATATTGCTTTTAATATTTCTTGTGTGGTGAAATGGAGAGTTGGGTGGCCTCTGATTGTCATTGTGATGTTTTTTGTACAGGTCTACTTTCTGTACATCATCTCCTCCTTTACTCTTCACTTTTCCCTGTGTTTTGTGAATGAAGAGCATTAAAATGCAAATTTTACAGGTACATTTTGGAAGTAGACTTTGGTCACTCTTCAAAAAAGAAAAAAAAACGAACGAAAAGAGGAGCATGGGAAAAAGCCACTGGGAATTGTTTCAGTTAGTTCTTTTTGGTTAAGTAAAAGCTCAAGAAGTAACCCCCTTTCAGTGAAAGTACATCTTAAAAGAAGATGAATTTTGAACCACTGCTTCTGCTGCAGTCACATGCAGGAAGCCAGTAAAAGTAAAGTGCATGTGTCTATTTTTGTAATTGTTTTCAATTCATGGGGCTAGAGCTAAGACAAAAATAAAGAGAATGGAATTAGATAACAGGGTTTACAGTTTCGTAGGTTATTGCTCTCCAAGGATAGAGCACCTGTTTTGTGTTGGAAAAGTGGGTGTGCTTGTGTTTACCACCTGTCCTCAAACTTCTTCAACCAAATCTTTATTATTTTTATGCAGATAGTGCTTGTTCCGACTCATCAGCTCATGTTTCTGATTTTGCCTTCAATTTAAGCTTGTACTTCAGGTTCCAGTAGGGGACTTTTTTTGGTGCCCTTCTGGCCTTATCAACTCTCCTGAAAGTTGCTGCCTACTGGACAGCACCAAAACCTTCCTCTCGCTATCTCTGCTTCTCTTTTTGTCCTTTTTGAGATTTCACAGGAAATCCTGTAACATACTTGAGCCCACAGTCCTGTCTTACTTTTCAGATACTCAGTGGAGTGCTGACTGTCCATGTTTCAGATCAGCTAGGCCAGCAAGAGTCAACTTTTCTCACTGCCTTGAAGAAAGCATTGAGTTCTCTGTGCTTATACCATAAGAGAGTGTTTTTGGGGGAGTGTAGAGAGGGGGCTGGAAGGAATGAAGACACAAAGAGAAATGGAAAGAGAGCACACAAAGTACAGATTTTCAGGTAGATTTGTGATTATTCTGCCTGTCCAGTTTGTGCCACCGATGCATTAAAACTAAATGGCAAGCATGATAAGAACAATTACACAGATTGTTATTTTGACTCTTAAAGAAGTACTGTACAAGAATTACTGTAAATGAGAGATTGTCCTACGGATGCAATATTCATGTTTATGATAACTTTCATTTTCGGTATTTCTAGATTCTTTAATGCTGTTCTGGTATATGCTTTCTTGTGGGCTTTTCTTTTTGTTTGTCAGAACTGGTGTTATCATGTCTCTTTTCCCTGAGATATATTTATTAGAGATCATAAAGGAAGTAATGTGTAATTCCAGAGTATCTGTAAAAACACTGCTCGATAAGGAGTTCAGCAGTTAACAGTCTAAACAGACTTTGAGGGACAGATCAATGCTACATTAATTTATTTGAGTTTTAAAATAATATTCATATGTGTCCATTTCACACTGCTAGATGTTCTATCAAAGAATGACTTACAGATTTATTATCTTAGTCACAGGAATTAATTCTTCTATTAACTTTCCTGAGCCTTGAAATTCAAACTTAGCTTTCTACTTAAAATCTCTGTGCTAGTGTATAAGCTATGACCTTTTTTGGAGGCTGGATGAAGTTTACTGTAACTTATTATTGGTGCTAATACAAATATTTTCATAGCAAGCTTATGGATGCGGTAAGCAGTCTGTTGCTAACTTAAACTTTATAGAACCAAGATATGTTTTCTTCTGTTTCCTAAGGAGTAGACTTGAAAGCTTTTTGAAGCATTTGAAGATTAGGTGACACTTCAGTACTTGTGAGTTGTCTCTTTCCCTGTTGAGTAGAACACGTAACAGATCCCCACATAGAGACAGTGTGGTAGAGAGTCTCTGGCAAGGATTAAGGGGAAGGATAGCAAACAGAATTGGTTGTTGGTTTCTGCTATCAGTCATCCATCCATAGCGACAGAGGTGAGGTGTTCCACAAGCAATGAAGATAAATCTCTGGATCGGTAACTCATCCTTTTGGGAGACTTAAACTTCCCAGATATAAACTGGGAATATGTGAGTACTGCGACAGGTAGGTCTGTGAAATTCCTAAAGGACGCTGAAGATAACTTCTTGTCACAAGTGCTTAGCCAGCTAGGAAAGCTGCCCTTCTAGAACTGTCTTGAGCATAAGGAAAGTCTTGTGGGAGGTGTGATGGTAGGTGGCTGTCTGAGCCGCAGCGATCATTAAATAGCTGAGTTCAAAAGAGGTCAGCAGAGTTACCACCCTGGATCTTAAGAGAGCAAAGTTTAAGCTGCTCAGAGAGCTAGGCAGCAGCATCCCTGGCAATCTGCTTTAGAGAGTTCAGGAGCTCTGTGAGAGCTGCTCACTTCTTAAGAACCACCTTTTAAAAACATGGGAGCAAGCAATCCCATTGTGTCAAGCAAATAGAAGAGAATATCAGCTTTGCTGAGCAGGGAGCTCCTTTTGGGACATGGGCAGAAAAATAACCTATGATCTCTGGAAGCAAGGTCAGGGAGATGAAAAGAGCTACAGTTCACAGCTGTAGAGAGAAAATAAGAAAAGCCAGAGCTCAGCTCGAGTTGACACTGGCCATTGTGTCAGCAAAAAAGGATTTTTTAAGTGTCTCAACAGCAAGAGGAGATCTAAGGAAAACTGTTGGGCTGATACTTGATGAAGATCGTTACCTAACAAACTGGAATGAGGAAAAAGCAGAGACATCTAATGCACTTTTCGCCCTGGCTTTTAATATTAATGATAGTTCTTGGGTTGCTGGTCCTGTGAGTTGGAGGGACACGATTCGTGACTATGGGAGCATGATCTGTGGTCACCATAAGTGTAAGAGAATAGTTGCATCAGCACAGTGTTGGTAGTTTGTAGGACATGACAGGGTTCACTCCAGAGCGAAGGACCTCTCAAGAATTTACTGAAGGTCTTACATATCTGGGGAGTGGGTGTATCAACAGCAAATGTACTGGGAATGCTGAACTGGAAGGTGCTGCTGGCTCTCTGGAGGGATGAGGCCTGAAGCAGGCACACTGTAACCGAGCACTGGGCAACCAACCATCAACAGCGTGATGTTCTACAAAGTAAAATGCTGGATTCTGCAGCTGGTACAGAGCAGCGCTGGACTCGGGTACACGAGGAGGTGGGTGGCTGGAGAGCGGCTCAGCAGGAGGGGCCTGGGGCTGCTGTGACAGCGGGCTCAGCGTGAGCCAGCAGCGCCCCCTGGTAGTCAAGGGGGTAAATGTATTTTGGGGATTCATTGCGCACAGCATAGCCAGCCAAAGGAGGTAACTCTCTCACTATTTCGTGTTGGTGAAGCCTCATCTGAAATACTGTGTGCAGTTCTGGGCTGTATGATGTTAAAACTACATTGAGATGCTTTGAGAGGAAGGCACCAAAGGTGACAGGGCTGGAAGGAATGTCCTGTGAGGAGGGGCTGAGGCCACTTTTCTCAACAGGAGTTGAGAAAACAGGAGGCCAGGAGGTGACCTCAGTGCTCTCTGCAGCTCTCTAAGGAGGGGAAGAAGAGGGAGGTGCTGGGCTGTGCTTCTGGGAACCAATGGCATTAGGAAAATTCCATTACCCTGAGCGTGGTCAAACACTGGAACAGCCTTCCTTTCCTTAGCAAGGTGGTTGATGCCCTGTGCTTGTCTCTGTTGAAGAGACACATGGATAATACCTTCAATATGCTCTAACATTGGGTTAGCCCTGATGTGGTCAGGTAGCTGAATACTGTGGTCTTTGTAGGTCTTTTCCAACTGAATTCTATTGCAGTGCAATACTAAGAGAATGGCATAACAGAAACAGAAGCATACAGCCCTCTGTTATAGCTTATACCTACTTGCATTATATTCACACTGGTTTGATGTCACATAGAAAGACTATAACAATTTTGACACTTAGACATAAGATGCTTGTAGTCAAACACCAATAAACTTTGTATTTTGTTTATACAGTTGAATGACTCTGAAACACGACTTTGGGTCAAAATGGTTTATTTGTAAATGTACATTGGCATTCAAGCTGCTTAGAATTCCTTAAAAGGCAAGGCAAAACGTGGTTGCTATATATGCAGAGCTTTTCAGCATCACGTTTCTGTTTAGACTGTCTGTCTCTTCTGGGAATAGTTCTGAACAATTGTCCTGGCTACAGTCCGACTTCTGAATAGAAAAGCTAGAAGTCCAAAGCATTGCTGCAGCAATGAAAGTGCACAGGTGCTTGTTTCAGGTACCTGCAGGTTCAGGGCGCTGGAGGCCAGCTGCTGAGCAAAGCCTGCAGGAACAGTTCTCTTTGGCAGTATGAATCAGCCAGTCAGCTTCCTTGGAAGAAGCTGAGGGCAGGGTGTGGAGGGCAGCCGATCAGCTTCTGCCAGACACAGCTTGCAGTCAAGGGAAAAGCAGTGAAACCACCTGTGAGAAGAGGATCCCTGCCTTGAGGGGGTGTATGTAGCAAATCAAGAGGATGATGTGATTATAATTTCCTGAAGGCAGCAGCCTTATTGCACTGATATCTTTAGAAGCCATCAATATGGTTCTGTCAGCAAAAACAAGGGTTGGATGTTTGTCAAAAAGAGTGGAGATGGTCTGTACTTAAAAGTTCGTGTGCTCTAAACAATGTCTCAGCAAGAGTGAGGCAGTAAGTTTTAGTTCTCAAACTTGTTGCTGATACATGTGTCCTCCCCAGCAATGTAGAGTAAGGAATATAAGTAAATTAAACACATTTTTGACCCTCTGCCCCTTCCCCTCACTGGGAGTACTTTTTAGTGCAATCTTACATTCCCTGACTCTTAATTGGTGAGAGAAATTGGAAACATTTCAAAGTTCCTTGCCCTGAAAAAATGCTCTCTGGGACATTAACTTCAAGTTCACACTTGTTGCCAGGTTTGCTTTTTTTCTTGTTGTTTGGTTGTTTTTTTGTTTTTTTTTTTTTTTTTTTTTTTTTCCTTTTCTGTACATTTTGATGCTCACGAGAGTTTCGGGAGTGGGTTCTGCTGCAATTGCTACTATTCCACTATTCCTCTGGGGCTTCATGGGACTCCAAAGCTGTGATCTTCAGCCTTTGGCTGTGTGAGGACCTGTCCATAATGCTCTTGGCTGAGACACAGTCACAATGTTGGGTCTTCTTAGGTGGTGCTTTTCGTCTGCCTCAGTTGTGGTTTTGTCCTTTGGACTTCAGATCCTGGGATAAATCAGGTTGGAAGGGACCTTTGGACCTATTCAGCCTCCTGCTCTGGTAGGATTAGCTGTTAGCTCCAACCAAGTTGCTCAGGCCCATATCTAGCCAGGTCTTGAAAATTTCTGTGGGCGAGGACTGTACAACCTTCCCAGACAACCTGTTCCACTGCTGGACTTCCCTTAGCACCCTGCTCAGCAGGACTGTAATACATTCTCACCATCCTGTCACTGCTACCATCTTTTCTCAGCCTGAGAGCCATGCCTAAGAAGGCAGATTGTTGTCCAAGCCAAATGCCCAAGCCACTCCTTCACAAAAAGGGCAATCCTCTTCATCCCCAGGTCTTCCCCCCTTCCCTCCTGAGGAGTGTGTCCATCCATCACCATCATCTTGCTGTTCCAGTGTTGCTGTACCAAAAGCATGAATTCCTCCCACTTGTTCCCCAGGGCTGCACACCTTTGCATCCACACATTTGAGGCAGCTTTCGTCTTTTTGATATTCTTGAAATCTCTCTTGTTCCCATCAGCCTGCATCCTTACTTTCAATCACTGCCTCACTTAACTGGTGCTTACAGTAGCCCTCTCTTTACTGCTCACAGCTGAAAGCTGCTCTCACCAGCTTGGCCGAGTTACAGCCACTCATATGAGCCCGATTAGGACATTCAAATACAGCCTAAACATTAATTTTTAAAAGGATCTGGAGGAAAACCAGAGGCTGTAAACACAAGGTTGCCATGACAGAAAAGCAGCATATTGCACACTTCTGAGCTAGCTTCGCCAGTGCTGTGGCATCTGCAGGGCTGCACAGCACCATATGGAGACATTGGTTCAGGTATGTACCTTTGGAGCAGGAAAGATAGGCAAAGAATATTTCAATAATTTTGCCAACAAACTAATTACAGGTCTGTGCCGAGTTCAGCTGAAGCAAGTTCAGGATTTCTAGCCTGAGCTGCTTTTGAGATCTGATGAATCAACAATCAGGAAGTTTTTTAAGTGAAATCAGCTTGTT